ATTTTGATACACTGCCGATTTTACAGGTTTTCCTACTTACAAAGCATGTAGAGGTCTGTAATTTTTATCCAGAAAATCACATTTTATGATTTTTAAGTAATTAATTTGCATTTTATTGCATGACATAAGTATTTGATACATCAGAAAAGCAGAACTTAATATTTCGTACAGAAACCTTTGTTTGCAATTACAGAGATCATTCGTTTCCTGTAGGTCTTGACCAGGTTTGCACACACTGCACTCCTCCATACAGACCTTCTTCAGATCCTTCAGGTTTCGGGGCTGTCGCTGGGCAATACAGACTTTCAGCTCCCTCCAAAGATGTTCTATTGGGTTCAGGTCTGGAGACTGGCTAGGCCACTCCAGGACCTTGAGATGTTTCTTACGGAGCCACTCCTTAGTTGCCCTGGCTGTGTGTTTCAGGTCGTTGTCATGCTGGAAGACCCAGCCACGACCCATCTTCAATGCTCTTACTGAGGGAAGGAGATTGTTGGCCAAGATCTCGCGATACATGGCCCCATCCATCCTCCCCTCAATACGGTGCAGTCGTCCTGTCCCCTTTGCAGAAAAGCATCCCCAAAGAATGATGTTTCCACCTCCATGCTTCACAGTTGGGATGGTGTTCTTGGGGTTGTACTCATCCTTCTTCTTCCTCCAAACACGGCGAGTGAAGTTTAGACCAAAAGGCTCTATTTTTGTCTCATCAGACCACATGACCTTCTCCCATTCCTCCTCTGGATCATCCAGATGGTCATTGGCAAACTTCAGACGGGCCTGGACATGCGCTGGCTTGAGCAGGGGGACCTTGCGTGCGCTGCAGGATTTTTATCCATGACGGCGTAGTGTGTTTCTAATGGTTTTCTTTGAGACTGTGGTCCCAGCTCTCTTCAGGTCATTGACCAGGTCCTGCCGTGTAGTTCTGGGCTGATCCCTCACCTTCCTCATGATCATTGATGCCCCACGAGGTGAGATCTTGCATGGAGCCCCAGACCGAGGGTGATTGACCGTCATCTTGAACTTCTTCCATTTTCTAATAATTGCGCCAACAGTTGTTGCCTTCTCACCAAGCTGCTTGCCTATTGTCCTGTAGCCCATCCCAGCCTTGTGCAGGTCTACAATTTTATCCCTGATGTCCTTACACAGCTCTCTGGTCTTGGCCATTGTGGAGAGGTTGGAGTCTGTTTGAGTGAGTGTGTGAACAGATGTCTTTTATACAGGTAATGAGTTCAAACAGGTGCAGTTAATACAGGTAATGAGTGGAGAACAGGAGGGCTTCTTAAAGAAAAACTAACAGGTCTGTGAGAGCCAGAATTCTTACTAGTTGGTAGGTGATCAAATACTTATGCCATGCAATAAAATGCAAATTAATTACTTAAAAATCACACAATGTGATTTTCTGGATTTTTGTTTTAGATACCGTCTCTCACAGTTGAAGTGTACCTATGATAAAAATTACAGACCTCTACATGCTTTGTAAGTAGGAAAACCTGCAAAATCGGCTATGTATCAAATATTTGCGAGAAAAAATATATATAGGGGATTGGAAGTGATGCAGACAATTACATTGATGGGAGTTACAATCTATCTGCAATATTAAAGCTGATCTACCCCCTAAAAAAGAAAATATATAAACAAAAAAAAAATTGCTCTTCCAGAAGCGGCGCTCCTAGTGGCCGGGGACTTTAATGCAGACAAACTCAAATCTGTTTTACCACATTTTTACCAGCATTTGCAACCAAAGGGATAAAAACTCTAGACCACCTTTACTCCACACACAGAGACACATACAAAGCTCTCCCTCGCCCTCCATTTGGCAAATCTGACCATAATGCTATCCTACTTTTTCCTGCTTACAAGAAAAAGCTAAACCAGGAAGTACCAGTGACTCTATCAATACGGAAGTGGTCAGATGACGCGGCTGCTACGCTACAAGACTGTTTTGCTAGCACAGACTGGAATATGTTCCGGGATTCATCTAAAGGCATTGAGGGGTATACCACCTCAGTTACCGGCTTCATCAACAAGTGCATCGACGACGTCGTCCGCACAGTGACCGTATTTACATATCCCAACCAGAAGCCATGGATTACAGGCAACATCCGCACCAAGCTAAAGGCTAGAGCTGCCGCTTTCAAGGAGCGGGACACTAATATGGACGATTATAAGAAATCCCGCTATGCCCTCAGAGAAACCATCAAACAGGCAAAGCGTGAATACAGGACTAAGATTGAATCCTACTACACCGGCTCTGATGCTTGTCGGATGTGGCAGGGCTTGCAAACTATTACGGACTACAAAGGGAAACCCAGTCGCGAGCTGCCTGGTGACGCGAGCCTACCAGATAAGCTAAGTGCCTTTTATGCTCACTTCGAGGCAAGCAATACTGAAGCATGCATGAGAGCACCAGCTGTTCCGGACGACTGTGTGATTACGCTCTCCGTAGCCGATGTGAGCAAGACCTTTAAACAGGTCAACATTCACAAGACTTCAGGGCCATACGGATTACCAGGACGTGTACTCAGAGCATGCGCGGACCAACTGGCAAGTGTCTTCACTGACATTTTCAACCTCTCCCTGACCGAGTCTATTTTACCTACATGTTTCAAGCAGACACCATAGTCCCTGTGCCCAAGAAAGAGAAGGTAGCCTGCCTAAATGACTACCGCCCTGTAGTACTCACGTAGGTAGCCATGAAGTGCTTTGAAAGGCTGGTCATGGCTCACATCAACACCATCATCCCGGAAACCCTAGACCCACTCCAATTCGGATACAGCCCCAACAGATCAACAGATGACGCAATCTCAATCTCACTCGAGACTGCCCTTTCCCACCTGGACAAAAGGAACACCTATGTGAGAATGCTATTCAAAGACTACAGCGCAGCGTTCAACACCATAGTGCCCACAAAACTCATCACCTCCCACTGCAACTGGATCGTGGTCTTCCTGACTGGCCGCCCCCAGGTGGTAAGGGTAGGCAACAACACGTCTGCCAACACATCCGCTGATCCTCAACACGGGGGCGCCTCAGGGGAGCGTGCTTAGTCCCCTCCTGTACTCCCTGTTCACCCATGACTGCGTGGCCAAGCACGACTCCAAAACCATCATTAAGTTTGCTGACGACACAACAGTGGTAAGCCTGATCACCGACAATGATGAGACGGCCTATAGGGAGGAGGTCAGAGACGTGGAAGTGTGGTGCCAGGACAACAACCTCTCCCTCAACGTGAACAAGACAAAGGAGATGATCGTTGGCTACAGGAAAAGGAGGGCTGAACACGCCCCCATTCACATCGACAGGGCTGTAGTGGAGCAGGTTGAAAGTTTCAAGTTCCTTGGTGTCCACATCCCCAACAACTATCATGGTCCAAACACACCAAGGCAGTTGTGAAGAGGGCAGGACAACACTTTTTCCCCCTCAGGAGACTGAAAATATTTGGCATGTGTCCCCAGATCCTCAAAAGGTTCTACAGCTGCACCATCGAAAGCATCCTGACCGGTTCCATCACTGCCTGGTATGGCAACTGCTCTGCATCTGACCGTAGGGTGCTACAGTGAGTTGTGCGTACGGCCCAGTACATCACTGGGGCCAAGCTTCCTGCTATCCAGGACCTATATACTAGGCAGAGGCAGAGGAAGGCCCAAAAAATTGTCAAAGACTCCAGTCACCGAAGTCATAGACTGTTCTCTCTGCTACCGCACGGCAAGCAGTACCGGAGCGTCAAGTCTAGGTCCAAAAGGCTTCTTAACAGCTTCTACACCCAAGCCTAAAGACTGCTGAACAATTAATCAAATGTCCACCCAGACTATTTACATTGACTCGGTACCAGTACCACCTTTGTTATTTTGTGTTATTTTTTATTCAATCTTTTACTTTAGTTTATTTAGTAAATATTTTCGTAACTCTATTTCTTGAACTGCATTGTTGGTTAAGGGCTTGTAAGTAAGCATTTCACGGCAAGGTCTACATCTGTTGTATTGGGCGCATGTGACAAATACAATTTTTGATTTGATTTGATTTATACTTTTTTGGGGCAAATGCTAGCAACAACATTGAGTGGAGATTTTAAAGATTGCACATTCCCTGGTAGGTAATTAGAGCATATTGAGCCTCCAACCTTTGTTATCTCGGACATGCAGCGCATTTGTCCACTAGAGATTACAACCTTGTGAAAGTTATTACTGAATCAGATGCAGCTGAGAAGAAACTAAACATGAAATTGGTGAATTTTGTAATAAGCCTGGTAACAAGCATTTGTTGTTACACCTCTGTAATTACTGACTGTAATTTCCACCAGTTACATGTTGTTATTACAGTGTAACTAGGAGTTATTTCAATTATCTACGCTACTTGTTAAAGGGTAATTACACATGTAATAAGGACCACTTAAAATGAAGCGTTACCATTGAATGCAATGACTGTAAGTCACTCTCGATAAGAGAGTCTGCTAAATGACCAAAATGTAAATGTAAAATGAAAACTTGCAAAGTACACTGGGTATTATACTAATGAGCTCCACCCCCAAACAAGACCAAATTTGGTTGGCCGGACCAAATCTGAACCAATCATATATATCTGTGTTTAAAAAGTTTGGAGGGTACAGTACAGTACAGTAGAGCATAGTAGAGTAGAGTCCAAACTTGCCAAGGATGTTGAAAAGTGGTTGAAATTCGGTCAGTCCACTCTGGCCTTGATTTCAACATCCACAGATTAGTAGATTTTTGGTCCGGTCTGGACTGGCCTTGATTTTAGCGTCCATAATGTCCACAACGTCCACAAACATAGACGTCTATGTTTGGATCAAATCAGGTCTGGTCCGGACTGGACCAAATCTGAACCAATCAAAGACGTCTATGTTTTTGGACGTTGTGGATGTTGTGGACATTGAAATCAAGGCTGGTCCAGACCGGATCAAAACTCTACATCTCAAGGTCAAATGGACATCCGGCGTCAGTGTTCAGTGGGCTCTCCATTTATAATTGCCTTTCCCTTGCTTTCAGATGAATCGACTTGTGGTTATCGATGCGGCTATATTTGTCTTCACTGCAATCAGTGCTGCAGGCGGTTGTAAGTGATTATTTTATTATTTTGTTGGCCTGTGACTGTCTTCTACTATTAATTTTGTGACTCTTTGCATAACTTTTCCCCTTCTTATCAGCGTGGTGTTACCATGATTCTAGTTGTGGTAAGTATTGGTTTTACCCCCCTGGTTACAGTGTAATTTTTATTCACAAATTGGACGTGAAGCATTTGCTTTGAAATTATTGTGATGGCGGTGGATAACAGACTATAGAATTAATGTGTTAGCATATAATATGACCCTTATAAAATTATGGTACATTGACACCATGGTATGATTGATTATATGTTAAGATGACACCACTTGGCCCACCATTGCCTCTGGTAATTGCAACGGATCCCGACAGTCTCCCATCAACATCGTCTCCGCATCGGCACGGGGCGATGCAACCCTGACTACTTTCACCTTCACCAAATACGGAGACATCACTACGATGAAGAATATCAAGAACACTGGCAGAACCGGTGAGGAGAATGGATGGATGCCTTGCCTTTTCAATCCATACACACAAAGTCCCCACTTGAGGAAAATATACAGTGCATTCGGAAAGTATTCAGACCCCTTGACTTGTTCCACATTTTGTAATGTTACAGCTTTATTCTGAAATGATTGAAATTGTTTTTTCCCCTCATCAATCTACACACAATATCCCATAATGACAAAGCAAAAACAGGTTTGTGTACATTTTTGCAGATTTATATAAACAAATATATGGAAATATCACTTTTACATAAGTATTCAGACCCTTTACTCAGTACTTTGTTGAAGCACATTTTGGCAGTGATTAAAGCCTCGAGTCTTCTTGGGTAGAATGCTACAAGCTTGGCACACCTGTATTTAGGGAGTTTCTCCCATTCTTCTCTACAGTTACTCTCAAAATCTGTCAGGTTGGATTGGGAGCGTTGCTGCACAGCTACTTTCAGGTCTCTCCAGAGATGTTTGATTGGGTCAAGTCCGGGCTCTGGCTGTGCAACTCAAGGACATTCAGAGACTTGTCCCGAATCCACTCCTGTGTTGTCTTGACTGTGTGCTTAGGGTCGTTGTCCTGATGGAAGGTGAACCTTCGCCCCCAGTCTGACTTCCTGAGCGCTCTGGAGCAGGTTTTCATCAAGGATCTCTCTGTACTTTGCTCCGTTCATCTTTCCCTCGATCCTGACTAGTCTCCCAGTCCCTGCCGCTGAAAAACATCCCACAGCATGATGCTGCCACCACCATGCTTCACCGTAGGGATGGTGCCAGGTTTCCTCTGGATGTTACGCTTGGCATTCAGGCCAAAGAGTTCAATCTTGGTTTCATCAGACCAGAGAATCTTGTTTCTCATGGTCTGACAGTCCTTTAGGTGCCTTTTGGCAAACTCCAAGCGCTGCCATGTGCCTTTTACTGAGGAGTGGCCATTCTACCATAAAGGCCTGATTGGTGGAGTGGTGCAGAGTTGGTTGTCCTTCTGGAAGGTTCTTCCATCTCTACAGAAGAACTCAGGAGCTCTGTCAGAGTGACCATCGGGTTCTTGGTCACCTCCCTGACCAAGGCCCTTCTCCCCCGATTGCTCAGTTTGGCTGGGTGGCCAGCTCTAGGAAGAGTCTTGGTGGTTCCAAACTTCTTCCATTTAAGAATGATGGAGGCCACTGTGTTCTTGGGGATACATGGCTTGGTTTTTGCTCTGACATGCACTGTCAACTGTGGGACCTTATATAGACAGGTGTGTGGCTTTCCAAATCATGTCCAATCAGTTGAATTTACCACAGGTGGACTCTAATCAAGTAGTAGAACATCTCAAGGATGATCAATGGAAACAGGATGCACCTGAGCTCAATTTCGAGTCTCATAGCAAAGGGTCTGAATACTTATGTAAATAAGGTATTTCTGTTTTTTTTGTCATTTTGGGGTATTGTGTGTAGATTGATGTTTATTTAATTTATTTGAGAATAATGCTGTAACTTAACAAAATGTGGAAAAAGTCAAATGTTCTGAATACTTTCCGAATGCACTGTATGTACCAAACCAGGAACTGGTTCGAAATGGAACTAATTTAGTTTTGTTGGTCTTTTCTTTCTTTCAGTCATAGTCGAGCTGACGAGTGGAGTCCAGATTACAGGCGGGGCCCTGTCTGAGGCCTATGACAGCCTGCAGTTTCACCTGCACTGGGGCAACGGTACCTCAGTCCCTGGGTCGGAGCACACAGTGGATGGAATCCGCTACCCCATGGAGGTATGGGAAGGTTCAACACAACATTGCAGCTTTCCGATTCTCTACCTTTCTCCAGAAGTGTCCCTTCATTCACTCCCCCTTTCATGGATTGATGCAAGCATGGCTGGAGGGAGTTTCCACCATATGCCAAACACTAGTCCATTCCTTTTAAATTCATGAAAGGAAGTGTATGCGTACACTTAGGGAGAAAGGTAGAGAATCTGAATGTAGCTCATGTCACATGGGGTGACACTTCTCATACTGATGCACATCAGTGGCGGTTGGTGCCGTTTAAGATGAGGGATGACGATTTTTATTTTTATGAGCATGGCCTTATTTCTATTACAGCATATTGGATGACTGTCATTCATATTCAATTCACCCAGCTCATCGATAGGTTTAGGCTACTACATGATACTCAAATTTTCCCTATACCCATCATGAGGTTGCTACAACCTAGCCTATGAATGAAAGTTTACAATGTAGGTGCACAGGTCGAGATACAATTTTGAGTAATCAATGTGACAGACAGTGACACATTCAATACCGCCTTGCACACTCTTGCCTGCATCTAGCTGATCTAGGGTGTAATCATTAGTACAACAGTTACAAACGAGAGTTTCTATTGGACAAATTCAGGTATGTTTATCCCTGTTTCAATCCGTTTGCTTACGTTTAAGAAGCGTTTTTCAACAGAATCGGCGGAATGAATAAACCCCTGATCACATATAAACACAGTTCACTTTCATAGCAGCCACATAAACAGCATGACTCATTTGCTCGTTGTATAATTCCTTCTCACATCGACGCACTCTCCTCCTCTCACCTTCTCCATTTGCTTGTGGACTTCAGTGGACAACACATCAGCTGTCTGTAACCAGGCTAAAAAAAAAAATCCAAGCCAAACCTTCATATCATAACAGCTAACCGCTACACATTTTTACATTACATTTTAGTCATTTAGCAGACGCTCTTATCCAGAGCGACTTACAGTTAGTGAATACATTTTTTTTTTTTTTTTATACTGGCCCCCCGTGGGAATCGAACCCACAACCCTGGCGTTGCAAACGCCATTCTCTATCAACTGAGCTACATCCCTGCCGGCCATTCCCTCCCCTACCCTGGACGACGCTGGGCCAATTGTGCGCCGCCCATGAGTCTCCCGGTCGTGGCCCGGCTGCGACAGAGCCTGGATTCGAACCAGGATCTCTAGTGGCACAGTTAGCACTGCGATGCAGTGCCTTAGACCACTGCGCCACTCAGCCTATATCGTTGTCACCATAGCTAACGTCATAGTCAACATAGCTACTAGAACTAAAGTGTTAGTAAACCTGCTACAATCATGCAGTACAGTGTACAGTCAGCAAGCAGTTGAGCAGTTACAATAAATTAATAAAACCAAAAGCTTAACTTGACTTGGAAGAGTTCCAGTGTTGGATAGCCATAGCCAGATAGCTAACATAGCACCCCTCTCTGTTTGAGTAGGCTAAACTTGCTAGCTAGATTAGCTAGCTATGCAAGTGAAAGTGAAAAAAATACAACAAAATATAGCTAGCTCTCTCTCTCTCTCTTTCTTCTCCTTCATTTTTGTAAAAATGTATTTGTTCAAAGCTGTTCAACTATTGTCTTTCTCTCCCTTTGAGTCAACTACTCACCACATGTTATGCACTGCAGTGCTAGCTAGCTGTAGCGTATGCTTTCAGTACTAGATTCATTCTCTGATCCTTTGATTGGGTAGACATCATGTCAGATTATTCTGCAAGAGCTCTGATAGGTTGGAGGATATCTTCCGGAAGTTGTCATAATTACTGTGTAAGTCGTTAGAAGGGGGTGAGAACCATGAGCCTCCTAGGTTTTGCATTGAAGTCAGAGGAGGAGGGAAACTAGCTGTCCTCTGGCTACACCATGGTGCTACCATAAAGAGTGCTGTTGAGGCTACTGTAGACCTTCATTGCAAAACAGTGTGTTTTAATCAATTATTTGGTGACGTGAATATACTGTATTTTGTATCGTTTTATCTAAAAAGGATAACTTTTTAAATGTTTCACTATTTTTATTTTCATGAAATTCACTGAGGAGGATGGTCCTCCCCTTCCTCCTCTGAGGAGCCTCCACTGATGTACATATACCGTACTGCCATGGATCAATGTCATGTTCTTCGTTTAGGCTTAGTCCAGTCAGAATGATTTCCCCCCAGCCAAACTGCAGCCCCGCCACTTGGTTTACTAGAAAACTGACGAATGGGGAAATGTAACTACTCTCAAGTCTGACGGTTGTACTGAGCTTATGAGGCATGTATAAGTCCTATTGGTCAATAATCAGGGGGCATATATATCATTAATTGAAATGACCCTTGAACAGCTGTAAATATGACAGATTGTAGGCTACCTTTTTAAATGTATCATTACAACGTTTTAATTTTCCAAAGGATTCAGAACTTTTTAGATCAACTGTTATGCTTCACCTTTCAGTTGCACATAGTAAATGCCAAGTCTTCGCACAACGGTAACACGACCACGGCCGTTACAGATGGCACTGGACTCGCTGCTCTTGGCTTCTTCATAGAGGTGAGTGGATGCTTTAACCTTCCTATAAATGGCATCCATTTTTCCACAGTAGATTGGATATTTCAATGTTTTATTGCAGTTTTTTATTACTAGTCTGTATTTTTTGCAACAGGCCATTCCGGGCAATGTGACTGGTTCACCAGCAGCCTGGAAAACTCTGACATCCTACTTGGCCAACATCACACTAAAAGGTGAGTGGAGAGATTTGACTGGTTCTGATTTGATCAAGAACTACTTCCTCAAAATAAAGTTTGGAAAAGGGATTCTTTTTTCTCTATGGATTCAAAATGAGAAATGTTCTTGTTCCATTTCAGTAGTATATGATTTTAGTATTTTTCTCTCTCTTCCTCAAGATGAGTATGTAAACATTACTCATGCTATTTCATTGGATGAGCTCCTGGAAGGCGTGGACCGTACCAAATACTACCGTTACCATGGATCCCTGACCACTCCAAATTGCAACGAAGCCGTGGTATGGACCGTGTTCAAGGACCCTATCAAAGTCAGCCAGGACTTGGTGAGTTTGTGAAACAATTTCACAATAAACTGAACAACATTTTTACCAACTAGATATTTTTATATATACAGTACCAGTCAAAAGTTTGGACACACCTACTCATTCCAGGGTTTTTCTTTATTTTTACAGTTTTCTACATTGTAGAATAATAGTGGATACATCAAAACTATGAAATAACACATATGAAATCATGTAGTAACCAAAAAAGTGTTAAACAAATCAAAATATATTTTATGTTTGAGATTCTTCAAAGTAGCCACCCTTACCTTGATAACAGTTTTACACACTCTTGGCATTCTCTCAACCAGCTTCATGAGGAATGCATCAGTCTTGAAGGACTTCCCACATGTGCTGAGCACTTGGCTCCTTTTCCTTCGCTATGAGATCCAACTCATCTGAAACCATCTAAATTTGGTTGATATCGGGGATTGTGGAGGCCAGGTCATCTGATGCAGCACTCCATCACTCTCTTTATTGGTCAAATAGCCCTTACACAGCCTGGAGGTGTGTTGGGTCATTGTCCTGTTGAAAACCAAATGATAGTCCCACTAAGCGCAAACCAGATGGGATGGCGTATTGCTGCAGAATGCTGTGGTAGCTATGCTGGTTAAGTGTGCCTTGAATTCTAAATAAATCACAGACAGTGTCACCAGCAAAGCACCCCCACACCGTCAAGCCTCCTCCTCCATGCTTCATGTTGGGACCCACACATGAGGAGATCATCCGTTCACCTACTCTGCGTCTCACAAAAACATGGCGTTTGGAACCAAAAATGTCAAATTTGGACTCATCAGACCAAAGGACAGATTTCCACCAGTCTAATGTCCATTGCTCGTGTTTCTTGGCCCAAGCAAGTCTCTTCTTCTTATTGGTGTCCTTTAGTAGTGGTTTCTTTGCAGCAATTCGACCATTAAGGCCTGTTTCACACGGTCTCCTCTGAATAGTTGATGTTGAGATGTGTCTGAGGTGTAGTTAACTCTAATGAACTTATCCTCTGCAGCAGAGGTAACTCTGGGTCTTCCTTTACAGTGGCGGTTCTCATGAGAGCCAGTTTCATCATGGCGCTTGATGATTTGTGCGACTGCACTTGAAGAAACTTTCAAAGTTCTTGGAATTTTCCGGATTGACTGACCTTCATGTCTTAAAGTAATGATGGACTGTCGTTTCTCTTTGCTTATTTGAGCTGTTCTTGCCTTAATATGGACTTGGTCTTTTACCAAATAGGGCTATCTTCTGTACACCACCCCTACCTTGTCACAACACAACTGATTGGCTCAAACGCATTAAGAAGGAAAGAAATTCCACAAATTAACTTTTAACAAGGCACACCTGTTAATTGAAATGCATTCCAGGTGACTACGTCATGAAGCTGGTTGAGAGAATGCCAAGAATGTGTGAAGCTGTCATCAAGGCAAAGGGTGGCTAGTTTGAAGAATCTAAAATCTAAAATCAATTTTTATCTGTTTAACTCTTTTTGGGTTACTACATGAGTCCATATGTGTTATATCATCGTTTTGATATCTTCACTATTATTCTACAATATAGAAGATTGTAAAAATAAAGAAAAATCCTGGAATGAGTAGGTGTGTCCAAACTTTTGACTTGTTATAGATACACACACACATATATATATATATATATATATATATATATATATATATATATATATGTATATGTATGTGTGTGTGTGTGTGTTATTATCAAGTAAAATAAATATATGGACTCCAACATGAAACTATGGACTATTTTCCTCATCCATATCTGCTTTTGAAACATAAAAGTACTGATTCAGAAATATTACTCAACATGGGCTTTGTAAGGGATTACACAGGAAGGGTGAAAATGTCATCTCCACTGGGGTAGTACAACAAAATATAATTTCTATAGCTAGGTTTCCATCCAATTGGCGATAGATTTTCATACGAATATTCTAAAATCTGCATTTAAACAATATGCAAATTGTCCCAACAGAGATGTGTTTCCATCAAATTGACTTGATAAAGGCTTTGTGTGATGACGTAGTGCACATAATAATAACTTTTACGATTTAAATCCCATGTACCGAATAACAAATAGAAGTTAAATGGGTTTCCATCGCTGATGGTTTTGTCACAATTTAATTGCATTATGTAGCGAATGTGCCCACTCTGATAATGGCACATGCATGGTTCGCATATACAGGGCGGGTATAGCCTACATGATGAGATTATTATGGACAAAAGAGACCGATTATTTTTATTTGTCAAATGGCATCCAAGCATCGATCATCATGTCACCAGAATAAGACCCTCAATATTTATTGGAAAGCACCATCAAGCTCATCACCGTGCATTTCAGAAATGTGTCTTGTTTTAATCCAACTTTTAACCAAAATGCAATGACATGTATCAAAGGTGTTTTTTTCTATGTATTTATTTGGAGAGCAATTTGCCTCAAAGTTGAGTTGATTTCACTTTACTTGGCAGCTAAACAAAAATTAGATGATGAACTGACGTCCATGCCCAGTGAGTAAAGCCATTGGGTCAGCCTGATGTCACACTTATGTCTGTGATCCAATATGCAATTAATTAACCTTCTCCCCTCAGATTGATATCTTCAGCACAACAGTGCGCATTGAACACAACTCCACCTCTGACTTGATGACTAACACCTTCAGAAACATCCAGACTGTCAACGGCTGGGTGGTGACAACCCAGCCCAGCTCAACCACAGCCCTGCCAGTGTCGGGAGCCTCCACAACGAGCTCCTCTCTGGGCATCGTGGCCCTGGCCTGCATGCTGCTGACGGTTTAGTCTCACCTGAATTGCTCTGCCATATCTCCATTAACCCTCAAGCTACCAACGTATTTTACATACACCGATTACCAACTTGGGTCAAACATAAAATGATCCTTTATATAATGTGCAGCTTTTTTCCAATGTACAATCCACATTAGTACTAAAAAGATAATTTACCATAATTTGATTAAAGTATTATTTAGTTTTCAGAATTTTGAAGTAAATATTAATGTTGTCATATTTATCTGGTAAAAACAACTGCCATTTAAGGGGTAGTACACCAACATTCTAAATATACTTAATTTGACTGACAAAAAGTCATTCAATTCACTTCAAAAAGTGATCCTGAGAGACATTTACCTAAAATATTGCTTAGTTTTCTTTATTTACTGACCACACAGCCAGCACCAGCATAACTGTTGGTGAAACAATGGGAGTGGTAGGTGCTATGGCAGCATTTTAGCATAGCATCCACAATGTCATAATATGTTGTACATATAGAATATTGGAGGATATTATAGGAATTCTGGTATTTATATAACCTTTTCAGTAGAATAGTACTATTTCAGAGAATACACACCAATACACACTATGTGTCCATTCAGAGGGTAGCGAATTTCTGTATTACAGTTCTACCAAGTATTCATAACACTGACAGACATTTATGAGCTGGTTTGACTGTAACTAAGCATATATCTAAGGTCGTTTTGATTTTGTACACAGTCTTACCTAGTTATAACCAGTTATAACCATAGGCGAGTACATAAGGTGCTCCATCTCTGCAGGTGATCTGTCTATCTGGTCAAAATCACTGATACAGTTCCACCTCCAACCTCTGATGATATGTATAACTTAAAGTTATGTATCCAGAGAAACCTGGATTATAATAAATACTTATTTGCCCTAGAATAGCCATAGAATAGCTAATTTTCTGAGTATACACACTAATACCGTTCTCTTTGTAGATTCAGAGCATATCTGTTCTGTATTGCATTTCTATCAAATAGTTATACCATTGGCAGATTTTGTATACCATTGGGCGATTTTTATATACACAAAAATAAGATAATTTTGGTTTTGTACACAGTCTTACGATACGTGGTATATAAAAGTACAATCTTAGGTGAGTACATGGGGAGCTATAGCTGTGCAGTCTTACTGATACAGATCCCCCTCCATCCTCTGGTGGTCTGGATAACTTGTAATTACAGTTTGTCTCCAGAAAAACCTTGATGCAAATAAAGTTCATAATTATCAAATTACTATAGGTGGAATTAGTGTGTTTTGTGCTGGGGTCAAAATAACCCCAAAGGACTTGAATTTTTTAAAAGTCCATATTGATACAGAAACACCATACACTGATATAGATTTGTTAATAACAAGTTGATTGACAAAGTCATGAAACATTTGAAGAACTTAATAAACCACATTTGGGCTATGATCAAAAATATATACGCTTCTTAGGTCAAAATTACCCCAGCAGGTAGCTTGAGGATTAAAGGCATGTTGAAACGATGTCTGCCATAGAATGACAAGTCAATTGATGAACATTTACAAACTGCCATTTCTCATGAAGTGGAATGGGCAAAATGGGTTTTAGCCATTCCTTTAGTCATTGCAGTTTTGCCAGTTGTCATGAACAGTCATGATGTCAACAGCAGTGTAGAAGCCTTAGGGTGGCGGTAGACTTCAGTTATATACCTCAATGTGCCTAAATTAATTTGCAACATTTGCACAATTGCCTCCATGAATTATGTATATTTAGTAATGCTGCGTTTGTAACCAAGTGGGAGGTGGGAATTTACCAGTTGTGAAATTGTGAATACCAGTTGGATAAATTCACATGCTTTGAACTTGTTGATAAATGCCGATTGGCTAATTGCCAACAAGATGTGTCAACCATAAACTAAAAGTACATCTATCATGCTTGTAAACAAATTATAGAGTAATGAAAACCATTGATAGATTGCTTTTTATAAAGAATGTTTTGTTGTTACGTTGAACTGCCGAAAAGGCTATTATTGAGGTAATTTCCTTCCGGCAGCTCAGTTGGTAGAGCATGGTGCTTGCAACGCTAGGATAGTTGGTTCGATTCCCAGGACCAACCATATGTAAAATTTTGATAAAAACGTCTGCTAAATGGCATATATTATATATTTATATATTAGGTGATGTCAGAGGTCAGCATGTGGGAGAAGTCGGAGCTCAGGGATGATAGATGATTTTCCCACTCGTAATTACCAGTTGGGGGCCATTCAAGTGGATTTTTCCCATTCGTACGTGGTAAATTCCCACTTCCCCCTTGGTTATGAACACAGCATTAGTGAGGTACTATTATACTTTTCTTCAGACTCTCCTCCCTTTTATGTGAATCACTGATCAAACCTGTTGTTCAGAGGGATCATTTGAGTCACCTCCCACTGGGCACACACTGGTTGAATCAAAATTGTTTCCTAGTCAATTAAATTAAATTATGTTGAACCAGCGTAGAATAGATGTTGAATTGACGTCTGTGCCCAGTGGGCTGGCCAGGTGGCAATGCCTGTGAGCCTGCCAGAGATAGGTTGGTGCTGATGTTTATTGTTATTATCTTGCTTACCACACCAGCACTACTTGTTTACTGTATTTTACTGTATATACAATTATTATGGTACACAAACAAGTGAAAATGATTCAAAAAATTTGAATAATTATGTAATTGATTGTTGACTCTTGTCTCGAGTAATCTGTCCCATGTACTAAACGAAAGTGTTCCTTGTTTCATTCAATTTGTATTCCGTTTGGTGCCTACAGTAGTAGTGAATACGACCCAGATGCCACTGAAAGTAGTGTTGGGGAGTTAGTAGAGGGCACTCATCCCTCTGATCTAAATATTATGTGATTGGGGACATTGCCTTGCAAAAAGTGTCCTCATTTGACATTAAACTGAGTTCCTGTCTCTGGTCTTTCTACATCCCATGCCAAGAGTAGGGCTCTTAACCCTGGTTTCATGGCCAAGATTTCTAACATGGCTGTTCATCATAAAATACCATTGTGGCAAAGAAATTCCACTCTAGCTCTATCTGGTTGGATCTCCAACTTCAATGGGTTAATTCATTGAATGGCATTTAATCTGAATGGCATTGTTAATCTAAATGCATTAGTTAATCTATTCGAGTCGGTATCGGCATCAGGTCAGGATGACCCAGATACTTTATATAAGCTTTTCAAAGAAGGGATTTTAAACGTTCATGAAACACTGCCTCAACAAAAGCTCCCATGACAACCAGGTGTATATTGTGAAGAAGAAGGTGTTGAATTTCAAACCATGAAAACTGATTCCTGTCTGCTGTTATATTAACAATAGTGGGTGGTTCATTTGTCATTGTTGTTTTTGTTTGCTTGAAAATATTTTTTTTTCATGCACTAGATCCTTTTGATGAAATTAATAAGAATGGACTGCATGTTAAGAGCCAACTTGCCAACGAATTATACAATACAACAACAATGAATAAATGTTTTTGAATTTCAAAACTTTTATTCATAGTCTTGCACATCAAAGAACAGAGCTGGGTTTCGTGCTTGTCAATACAATACATTGTGTTTTTTATTTTTCATTAATGAGATTCATGAGAAAATGTATGGACCAGTGGTTTGGCACTTGAAATTAAACTGTTTAAAAACAATATGGAATGAAAATGGACAGGAATTAACCAAATGTCAGTATATAATTTGGGTGAACTGATCAGTTGTTGATTGACATACTTTAGACACATTTCACAATTTGATAATGATCAAGTTTAACTAAGGTAACAAAAAAACAAAAAAAATAGAGAGAGCAGAGCACATTTTCAGACACAACGAGAGAAACTGGATATTCTACCCTCCTTTGATCAGCACTGTAGAACAATGTTTAGAATATGAATTTCCTAGTCGTCTGGGCAATTTTGTTATCTTTGATATTTGAGGAGAATCCAGGCAACAACTATTGTACAACACTGATATTTGTGTAATACAATGGAGAGTTTGTCTGCACATAAAATGGAAAAATAGATCTACAGGAATAGTGAGCATGAGAGAGAGATGGAGAAAGGGTTTATTGTCAAGTGGATACATGGTGAGTGAAGCCTGTCACTGTGAATGTATGTTGCTGTTACATCATTACATTTATGTTTTATACTATAGTTAATTTTATTTCAAACATTTCTAACAGGAAAAGTCAGCAAGGATCATGATAAAAGAAAGGCGGAGCAAATAAGTCTCCAAAAACAGTCTGACAGCCAAAATACGAAACACTACCTACGACTGAAACAAATAATGAAACAGGGCGAACACTTCTCAAGTACCTGTACATAGGTCTCCGATCAGACACTGAGTAGTACTGCTGGACATAGAGAAACGAACAGAGAAAACTGAGCAAGGGAACACAGGGAAGTGAGGGCATAAATACACAGGTGAACAGGTAGACACAGGTGACACCAATAGGATACTGATTAGTCCAAACTGTTAGTGAGGAGGTGCCTAAGGTTGTCGGAGGAGGACACCTAGTGGGTCGCTCCGGAACTGCGACCCCCTCCTGTAACAGAAGTGATGGTTGAGGCAAATTCTGTTCTCTGTCTTATCAATAAATTAAGTTCTGTCTTGACTTTGGAAAGAGTAATAGCTACGTGGTCTGAAAAAAAGTGTTTGTGGAAAACGCTCGAACGCAGTTAACAACATTTTCAATTGTCATATCTTCTTTACTTATGATTTATTCACCCAGATGCAAATGGTACCTGTACATAGGTCTCCGATCAGACACTGAGTAGTACTGCTGGACATAGAGAAACTAACAGAGAAAACTGAGCAAGGGAACACAGGGAAGTGAGGGCATAAATACACAGGTGAACAGGTAGACACAGGTGACACCAATAGGATACTGATTAGTCCAAACTGTTAGTGAGGAGGTGCCTAAGGTTGTCGGAGGAGGACACCTAGTGGGTCGCTCCGGAACTGCGACCCCC